TGGCCCAACATCATTTAGCTAGCAGGAAGTGCAAATCAAAATCACAATGAGATACCACTTCACACCCAGCAGGACAGCCATAACAAAAACCCAGGAAATGACAACTGTGGGCAAGGATGTAGAGAAAAGGAATGTAAAATGGTCACAGTCGCTGCGCACAACCTTGTGAATGTACTAAAAACCACTGAGTTGGAGACTCTGAAAGGGGAAGCTGTACAGTAGCAGAATTACAACTCAGTACAGCTGTAATTTTGGAAATGCTGTGAGTCATTGGAACACAAGGCTAGGCTAGAGACTTGGGGGTTCCTAGCTTGGGGGTCCCAGACCTCTGTGAATTGTGTATGGAAGGCGCTGCAGGTGTACATGTACTTTTTTCTGAAAATCAGACCCTGACAAGGTGCAGAGGCCCAAGGGTGAGCCGATGAAGTCACTCGGGGAGCCAGGGAGAAGTACTCCCTGAAGATGGAGGAGCGCCCGTGTTTAAGGAGGCCGGGAGGCAGGCGCGGGGTCCCAGAAGCTGACTGGTCTTTTGGAACAAAAGCCCCTTCTCTGAAGAGGCTGGGACAGCTCATGGTTTGCACCGCTTTGCGTATTTACTTTTTTCAGTCCTCTTGTTTTCCCTTAGTTTTAAAGGATAAAACTTCACCCCGGCTCCTAATGGGCCAAGGAGGAACGTAGAATGTGCTAGTTTGCAGCCAAACTTTCCACGGAGTATTCAAAGACAGCCCAGCAGGAAAGCGCACAGAGGGCGGGTCTACTTGGCGACGGCAAGTCCCTTCCATGAAGGAGAACTTAGGGCGCAGAGCAGGGACAGGCCCACCCAGGTTCACCTCCCTGAAGGCAGCCCCGACCTGCCGTGGCCTTCCCGGAGGGCTGTGGGGAGTCCCACGGGCTACCGGTGTTGCGTCCCATGGCTCATTTCAGGCCTGGGGTGCAGCTCGGGTCGCTCTCCCCTTTCCACACGTCCCCACGAGGTCGGCCTAGGCCTTAAGTGAAGCTCTACACCAATCCTTCTCCAGGAAAGTCAAGACGGCCCCGGAGGAATCGATCGCCGTTTGATGGAATGACCCCCGAAAAGGAAGCAGTAGGTTGGGACCCAGAGTCCCCGTCAGCCAACACCCAGCCCTGGAGTCCAACAGCGATTCCAGAGGACGCCCTTTCGGTCGCATTCCTATCCCGCCAGGGGGCTGTCCATGGCCAGACAAGGGTTCCAAACAGCGGGAAAAAAAGACGAGGAGTGGCAGTCGGGAACTGGGGGAAGAAGGCAGAGGGCAGCGAACGGGAGAAACCGCGGGCTCCGCGCGCTCCGGGAGAAGGGCCGGAGAGACGGGACCTGGAGCTCCGCCAGGCTGGGGCAAGATTTGCGTCCCAGCCCTGCCACTCCACTCCCACCCACGAGGTGGTCAGAGGAACTCGGCTCAGAGTCTGAAGGCAGTCCCTGGATTCCCGGAAATTCTCCCCCTTGCCCCGCCCCGACCCCCACCACCGAGTCTTCGCCGATACCAGCACGGGTTTCCCCACGTTCTCCCAAGCCAACACCCTTCCTGCAAAGCACTGGATTCCTTCTAAGTCCTGACCAATAAACCCGGGAGTTGAATCCAGGCCACTAAACGCATACCTGTCTGAGCCCTGTCTGCTCCTGGGTGCCTTGACCTTGACCTCCTTCCATTTAGCCGTAGGGGGTCTCAGCCCACAGCATCCGGGACCTTTCTCTAAACAATTTGCGGGGTGCACACAGAAAGTACACAAATGCGGGGCCGGGGGAGCCTCCGCGCACACACAGACTGGGCACAGGAACGCACTCACGTAGTCACGCCACGCACAGGCAAGCAGCCCGGCTCCGGGCCGTGGGGCCCCGCGTCTCCTTCCCTCCCCGCGGCGCCCCGCTGGTCCACGCCCCCCCCAAAGCCCGACCGGGAACTGCCGCCCGCAGACAGCCCAACCCGCTGATCCCGGCGGTGCCCACTTATCCGAGACGCCCGAGGCCCGGAAGCCCACCGTTCGGCCAGGGCCAGATGGGGGAGTGGGTGTTGGGGAGGGCACCCAGCCCCCGGCCGGACTTGGACCGCGCCAGGGGACTCCCGCGCACTCCTACGCTCCAGGCCGGTCGGGATCGAGATACCGCGCCCCCAGCACGGCGGGCGCCTGGGTCTCTCCCCCGCCCTGGGTCCTACCGGGAGATCCTGTGCGGGCAACTGCACTCGTTGCTATGCAACCTCCATCCCGCTCCCGCCGCCCAGCGCCTCGCGGGACGGAAGCGCGCCCCACCCGGGCCAACCCCAACTTCCCACCCCGGGCTGATCTGGACGCAGGGCTCGCCTCCCAATCTACTCCCGGCGCCCAAGTCATGCGCTCCGCACCCCGCCCCCACCCGGCTCTCCTACCCGGGGATGGTTCCCACGGAGCGCCAACACCCAATAGCCCCAGGATGGGAGGGTGCGGACCGCTCCCTACCCTTTCCTCCTCGTGCCCTCCGGCTCTCCCGTGCCCACCGCCCCGCCGCTCGGGGCTTCCTCACCCGCCCGCTCCTTCCCGCGGAGGGCCGCGCCTCGGCCGCCCTACCTGCAGCATCACTTTGTACTGCTCCTCCGGTTTCTGGACCACGCACATATTACATCCCATGGTTCTGGCCGGCGAGAGGAGGCGGAGGGCGGGAACGGGAAGACGCCTTTCACTGGCCCGTACGCGGGACCTCGGGTCCCGGGCCGGGTCCGGGGGCCATACCCTGGCGCTGGGGGCGGGCCGCCTAGCGGGGGAGGGGGGCACGCCCCCGAAGGGGGGGCAGTGGCTCGCCCCTCGGGTTAACTCTTCGCTGGCCGAGGCCAGGCGCGGGCATGCTCCCTCGCACCCGGCCAGGAGAAAAAGGGCAGCGGGGGATGGGCGGGCGCGCCAGGCGTTGCCAGGCTACGGCCCCCCAGGGAGAGCGGGGTCGCACCGGGCCGCCGGGGGCCGTCAGGGACCGTCAGGGGTCGTGGGCCGCGCGCCTCCCCGCCTGCGGGGCCCGCCGCTGCCGCTGCCGCTGCCGCCTCCGACTCCCGCCCATGGCCGCCAGCCCCGGGAACCCGGCCCTCGCGCTCGGCGCCGCGGCCCGGACCGCGACAGGGGAGCGGCGGCGCGGCGGCGGCCCCCGCCCGCGGCCAGGCCAGCGCCCGCGCTCCCGCCTCGCCCGGCCACGCTCTTGGCGTTCCCGGCGCCCGCTCTCCGGCCGGCAGTCGTCGGCCCTCTCCAGCTCCCGACCGGGACGACGGGCACGAGCGCGCGCCCACGGAGGCGGGGGAGGGGCGCGGGGAACGGGCGCACGCGCGCCGGGAGGGGCAGGGAAGGGAGCGGGGCCGACTGCGGGAGGGAGCGGCTGGGGCGCTGGAGCAGGCGCGGGAAGCCGGGGGCGGGCGCTCGACGGAAGCGGGTGGGGGTCCCCGGCACCCCACGACACCCGACGTCCGGTCCCGAGGAGTGGGCGCCCGGCACGTTGTCCGCCCGATGCCGATCTGAGAGAGGGGTCCTGCCAGGAGGAGCAGTCTCCTGGGTCCCCCGGAGAGAGTCCGCGATTTCAGCCCCTCTCCGGGGTCCTGGAAGCAGCAGCCCTCACGCCTCTGCTCCTTCCTCTGGCTTCTCCTTAAATGACTGCATCCCTCCTTCAACTCAGCCATTCCCTGCTGTCTTTGAAACGGACACCTTTGTTTAAAACAATAAAGAAAGGAAAAGGATAAACGAAGCGTGGGGAGGGTGTGAGTCGTCGGGAGAGGGGCCAGCCGGGGTCACCTACCTGTTCCTCAACCCCAGCCCTCGCCCCGCCCCCGCTTTCACAGCCCTTCCATCTCTTCCTCTTCGCTCCCACCACCTGCCCCCTCTTCTTGACAGGCGTGGAGGGAGAAGGCTTTTGCCTGGAAAGCAGCAGCAGGTGGAGGGCTGAGTTCCCAGGGGGTGCCCCGGCTGCGGGAGATCACTTGGAGGAATTGCCACATGCTTCATTTCCAGGCTTGGGCAAGTGAGGGAAACCCAGCTACATTGGGCTGTTTAATTAAAGCCCTTCCTTTCCTCCCTGACTCCTGGTTAGAGGACAAATCAGGAATGGCGGGCCTGCCCAGAATCTGGAGAAGGGAGGTGAGTTTCTTATCCCGGGCTTCTCCCGCAAAGCAGAACTTGAGACAATGGCTGGTGTGTCGGTTACAACTTGCCACCCAATGGCTGGTGGGTCTTGAGGAATGGCATCATACTGAGGGTTCAGCATCGGTGTCGGCCGCTGGTGGGGCTGTGGGTGGAACATTCCAGATGAGCCTTAATAAGAGAAAGTCTTTGCCATCGGGCTTACACAGAGCCTCCAGCCCTCCCACCATGGCCTCTGGCATAGTGGGTCCATCGCCTCCTGGGGAGAAGCTGGCTGACCTCCACCAGATGTTCCCCTCTGTCCAATGCTTGTGGCACACCCCGTCCACACTGCATGCTCCCCAGGGGCTCCACACACACTTCCTGAGCACTCCTGTAAGTACGTCTTCACCCCACCTGTCTCTTCCCTCCAATCTCCTTCCACCCGGGTGCCTGACCAATCAACCCAGCCATTTTCCACTGACCGGGGAGCATGGCCACCTTCATCTCAGGCCATTTCTCCCTCTACAAAGTAGGCAGCCTAGTGTCTTGCTCCCTAGGAAGATGTCCCCTCACCACTGTCCCTCAGGGCCACTTTGTGTGGGACCTCAGTGAGGCAGCAGGTGTTTTTCTTAGTGCCAATATGAGATAATCTGTCGAGGACCTGGCTCTGAGTTAGTCATGGGGTCACCCCACCACCACCACCCATGAGGCCTTAAGTGTGAGCTGAGGGGGTGTACCAGTGTGAAAGAGCCAGGTGATGGGAGGTTGGGGGAGAGGGAAGGGGATCTGGACTGCCTGGGCCTCAGTGTGCCGTCTCCATCCCAATACTCAGTTCAGAATAGGCAGCTCGAGTCATACAGGCCCTGGATGCCCCATGGTCAGGCTCTAAGTCTTTCCTGGGACCCGGTAGCATGGCCACGGCTGTGTTTTTTTCAGTGGTGAGTAGGTCTGCCACCGAAGGTGTGGCCCTGCTGCAGCCCCCACGGTCCCTGCTGGGATCCTTCCATTGAGGCTTCCTGAGGGCTGCACACAGCATTCTGGCCTACCATGGACAGATCCCTCCCGCAGCGTCAGGTTGGCCGGCTTCCGCGACTCGTGGCAGAGCAGCTTGCCATGCAGCCCAGTCCTTCTGCAGGGTCCTTACTTAATCTGGATCCCACGAAAAACAGGTATTGGTTAGCTGGTCATGGTGGCACTCACCTGTAGTCCTAGCTACTCAGGAGGCTGAGGCAGGAGGATCACTGGCCCCAGGAATTCAATGTTACAAGGAGCTGTGATTGCACCACTGCACTCCAGCCAGGGCCACAGAGTGAGACTCAGTCTGTAAAACAACAAATCAAAAAAAAGAACTGGTCCTGCCTGTGCATCTCAGGCCCACTCCATTAGACATTCCACCAGATAAATCCCTTTTCTTGCTAAAGTTAGTCAGCTTAAACCCTGACAAATACACAACCCTGGGACAGCGTTCAGGAGGAAGGACATGAGGGACAGCTGATCCTGGGGCAGCCTCTGTGCTCCGCTTGAGTACAGTGCAGTGACATCCCAGCACAGCACTGAGGCTGGAGCAGGCCATCTGGCTCAGATACAGACAGGGTGAGAGTGGCACCACCATGCTCCCCAGGGCACTCCAGCATTCTTTAACCTGAAGATGTGTGTGTGTCTGAGATTCCTATCTGGATGGGTCCTATCTTATTCTGTGCTGCTGAGGTAGGTCCCTGCTCTCCATGCATGTCCCAGAGCTTGGACCTACTGAGGACACCATGACACCCCACAGAAGGGCTCCACTCTGACCAACCATAGACAGCTGCAAAAAGGCCATAGTGCCCTTAGTAGCAGGACACATAGAGGATCCCACCCTCCTGACTACAGTTGTCCCTTGGGGTCCACGGGGCATGGGTTCCAGGCTTCACCCTAGTGGGGTTACCAATATGCATGGATGCCCAAATCCCTGATCTAAAAGTTTCTATTTGCATACAACGTTTGCTCATCCTCCCTAGTGCTTTAAATCTACTCTAGATTACTCATATTATCTGAGGCAATGTCAATGTTACATAAACAGTTGTTATAGTTTATTGTTTTGTTTTTGTAATTTGTATTATCTTTATTGTTGTATTGTTATGTTTTATTTTTCAAGTGTTTTCCATCCATGGTCGGTTGAATCCTTAGATGTGAAACCCATGGATACCGAGGCCAACTGTATTTTTTCCAGTGGATGCAATCCTGAGTCCCAAGCCCAGCCCTGTCAGATGTGTGAGTGGGGACCCCTGTTTCCCAGGAGTCTCTAATGACCTTGCCCACTGGCTTTTTCAGAAAGGAACTGTCAGTGAGGCTGAAGCCAGACCGCAACCCAGAAACTCAGTTCAGCTTCCTTCTTCTGGAAGCCTTGGCCTAGAGTGACTGGGTTACCCTTTCCTTACTCGGCCATGAGCTGAGTTTGCAGTGCTATTTTCTCTCCATGTGTCACGCTGTTGGCACTGTATCTAAAGAAGTCATCACCAAACCCATTGTCACCTAGATGTTCCCGCGTTATCCTCTAGGAATTGACTGTTTTGTGTTTTACATTTGAGTCCATAATATGTTTTAAGTTAATGTTTGTGAAGGATAGAAAGTCTATCTCAGACCATGTTTCTCACATTTCTGGAGACTGGGAAGTCCAAGATCACAGTGCCGACTGATTCTGTGCCTGGCGAGGGTCTCTATCAGTGATGTCTTCTCATGATGTCCTCATGTGTTGGAAAAGGGGGGAAAGCAAGACCGTTCCATGAAGTCTCTTTTATCAGGGCACTAATCCTTGCCTTGTGATACCACCATCTTGGTCATTAGGTTTCAGCATATGAATTTTGGAAGGCCACATACCTTCAAGCCACCGCAGTCTGTGCCTAGGTTCCTTTTTCTGCACGTGGATGTCCAGTTGTTCCAGCACCATTCACTGGCAAGGCTACCTGTCTCCATTGAATTCCCTTTGCTTTGGTCTATTTCTGCTACACCATTTTTTTTAATTGCACCTTGAATTGTTTTTTTTTTTTTTTTTTTTTGAGACGGAGTCTTGCTTTGTCACCTGAGCTGGAGTGCAATGGCGCAATCTTGGCTCACGACAACTTCTGCCTCCCGGGTTCAAGCAATTCTCCTACCTCAGCCTCCCTAGTTGCTGGGATTATAGGCACCTGCCACCACACCCAGCTAATTTTTTTTATTTTTAGTAGAGACAGAGTTTCACCATGTTGGCCAGGCTGGCCTCAAACTCCTGACCTCAGGTGAGCCACCCGCCTCAGCCTCCCAAAGTGCTGGGATTCCAGGCGTGAGCCACCACACCCAGCCTGCTGCTTCATTTTCTCAAAACTGAAAAAAAAAAAAAAACGCTGCTGACAGTGTAGAGAAAGCAGAGTGGGAGGCCGGGGCTTGTCGTGTTCTCATATGAACATGGCATTTTCTTTTTCTTTTTTTTTTTTTTTTGAGACGGAGTTTCGCTCTTGTCACCCAGGCTGGAGTGTTACCCAGCAATGGCGTGATCTCGGCTCACCGCAACCTCCACCTCCTGGGTTCAGGCAATTCTCCTGCCTCAGCCTCCCGAGTAGCTGGGATTACAGGCACGCCCACCGTGCCCAGCTAATTTTTTGTATTTTGAGTAGAGAGGGGGTTTCACCATGTTGACCAGAATGGTCTCGATCTCTCGACCTCGTGATCCACCCGCCTCGGCCGCCCAGAGTGCTGGGATTACAGGCGTCAGCCACCGCGCCCGGCTCTTTTATGTTTTTCGATGTTGTTGTTGCTTCCATTTCACAGACCCAGATTATCATTATCCATCAACACTTTCGTCCACCCAACGACCTGTTACATTTTATCTTCTATTTAGAAAATAAGTTAATTCCAGGCAGTGGCTCTCGCATGTAATCTCAGCTGATTTTTGTATTTTTAGAAGAGACAGGGTTTCACCATGTTGGCCAGGATGATCTTGATCTGTTGACCTCGTGATCCACCCGCTTCGTCCTCCCAAAGTGCTGGGATTACAGGCGTGAGCCACCGCGCCTGGCCAGAACTACATTCTTTTTTGTGACCCAATAGTAATCTGTTGTTCTGTTGTGCAAGCAGACTGCATTTTCTTTATGTGTTCATTGGCCAATAGGCAGTTGGGTTGCTTCTCACTTAGGTTTTGGCTCTGTTGCTCAGAATGGAAGATAGTGATGCCATCTCAGCTCACTGTACCTTCCACCTCCTGGGCTCAAGTGATCTTCCCTCTGATCCTCCCACACTCAACTAACTATAATGTTTTTGTGGAGACAGGGTTCCACTATATTGCCCAGACTGGTCTCAAACTTCTGGGCTAAAACAATCCCTCCAGCTCAGCCTCTGAAAGTGCTGGGATTACCAGTGTGAGCCACTGCCCCCGGCCTAGGTTTTGGTTTTTTTCGTATAGCTGTATCATGTCTGCCTAAAATAATATGTTCTTTAGTTGAGCTTATTTTTCCCCTATTCCCCAGATTTCTTCGTCATAGTTTAGCTTATTTTTGAACTTTATGCAAAAGTGTCCTATGTATAGTTTTCTGGGACTTGCTTTTCTTCTCTTCAACATTATGTAACTAAGCCTTTTTTCCATGATGCTGTCTGTAGCCATTGTTCATTCATTTTTACTGATATATAATATTCTCTAATTTATTTACCCATTTTCCTATTGGGGGGCACTTGGATTGGATCCAGTTTTCTTGCTACTAAACAGCATTACAGCTGGGCACGGTGGCGCACGCCTATCATCCCAGCACTTTGGGAGGCCGAGGCGGGCGGATCATCTGACTTCAGAAATTAGCTGGGCGTGGAGGCGGGCGCCTGTAGTCCCAGCTACTCGAGGCTGAGGCACAAGAATGTCTTGAATACGGTAGGCAGAGGTTACAGTGACTCGAGATTGCACCATTGCACTACAGCCTGGGCAACAAGAGCAAAACTCCATCTCAAAAATAAACAGTATTGCTGGGAACATTTGTGTACCTGTCTCCTAGTGCAATGTGGAGAACTGCTGGGCTGTAAGATCAGCCAATGTGCAGCTTTACATAAGCCTAATTGTTTTCTAAAGTGCTCCTACCAATTTACACTTCCACTAACGCTCTGTGCAGGATCCTTTTTGATCTGTATCTTCCTCAACTCCTTTGGTGTTTGTTTTTTTTGTTTGTTTGTTTAGACAGTCTCGCTCTGTCGCCCAGGCTGGAGTGCAGTGGCAAGATCTCGGCTCACTGCAACCTCCGCCTCCTGGATTCAAGAGTACATTTTCTCCAACCCTTGCTATTTGGGGGATTGCTTCGTTTTTGCCAGGCTGATGGGTGTGAAGCAGTACCCCACCGTAATCTTGCATTTCCGTGGTTACCAGCAGGGCTGCTCTTTTCTTCTGAGTTTTCTCTTCTGTCTTTTGCCCATTTTCATATTTTCTTCTTCCTTTTGCTTATTGATTTGTAGGAATTTTTTTCATATTCTAGATACTAACCCTTTGCCAGCTATGTGTATTGCAAATGTTTTCTCTCATCTGTGGCTTGCCTTCTTGCTTTCTTTAAGGAGTCTTTCATAAAATGAAGTTCCTACATTTGATGAACAATGAGAACACATGGACACAGGGAGGGGAGCACTACACACTGGGGTCTATTGGGGGGAATAGGGGAGGGACAGTGGGGGGGGAGCTGGGGAGGGATGGCATGGGGACAAATGCCAGATGTGGGTGAAGGAGAGGAAGGCAGCAAAGCACACTGCCACGTGTGTACCTATGCAGCTATCTTGTACGTTCTGCACATGTACCCCAAAACCTAAAATGCAATAAAAAAAAGAAAAGATATATATCCAAAAAAAAAGAAGTTTCTAATAAATTCATCTTGTTTTTTTCTTTTCTTTCTTTGTGTTGTTGCTGTTGTTGTTGTTTTTGAGACAGGATCTCATTGCCCAGGATGGAGTGCAGTGGCACAAACACAGCTCACTGCGGTTTCGAACTCCTGAGCTAAAGCAATCATCCCACCTCAGCCACCAGAGACCACAGGCACCCACCATCAAACCCAGCTAATTTTTAATTTTTTTATACAGATGAGTTCACATCATGTGTCCAGACTGCTCTCGAACTCCTTGGCTCAAGTAATCAAGCCAGGCTACCTTATTTTCTTCTTAAGAATTAATGCTTTTTAGGCTGGGCACGGTGGCT